TTTATCATCATTTTGTAGCCTAAAGTGCTTTGTTAAATTGAATCAGATTTTGATAGATGGTAAAACTATCTTTAAAATTGAACTTTTGTTTTACTAGAATCTTGACTAATTTGAGTTCTCGATCTACCACATGGTCCCCTGCAGCTTGGTTCTTCTCAAACTTGTCTCCTGAAATAACTTTTAAAACCAGAGAAAATTCTAAGTATTTACTCCTCAAAGGTTCTGGAGAAACCAAAAGTCCCCCAATTTTTAGAAGTCTGTGTTTTATCTTAAAATTTCATGCATATTAGGCATTCTACCCTTTATGTGACTTTTTGTTTTACTATAACACAACTGTGGTCTAAATTCCTTTTTAACCTAATTAGTTAATATGTTCCTCTCTAAATCATTTTTGCAAAATCAGCATTACAGAAAACATGTCACTTTAATCATAGCTATGGGCTTTCTAGCTGCAAAGTATGTATATAATAATAATAATGTAAGCTTTGAGTTAAATCGTACTCTGCCAAGTACTTGTCATATGAAGATAGGCAAGTTACTTGTACCTAAGGCTCTATTGACTCTTCTGTATAATGAAGGTGACAATGTCTAGGTGCATATTTGTTATGCATATATTTGTTAAATTTTTATGCTTTACAAGATAATGAACATTTACATTTTGCCTTGTTTTCAGTTATGACATTACCATGATGCATATTAACTATCAGCTTCCATTTTATTTAGCAATTGAATTAATACCTGTAATTGTGCTTTCCTTAGCTGCTGGCTAGTAATTTGAGCTTTTTGTTGCATCATATTTTCAATTCGTTGATTGACTTGCTTTTCTTTCTTGAGCTCATTTCCATAAAATTTGGACCCCTATGTAAGCAAATAAAACAAGCATAAGAAAAATGTCTGAAGGAAATTACTGTAGCATAATCTACTAGAATCAGTATGACTAAATTCAAAACAGTTCCACTTCTTCTAGCTGGGTGACCCTAAAATTAATCTTTCTATATCTTAGTCTCCTTATGGGTAAAATGCATTTATGGTTACCTAATTCACAGGATTGTTGTGAAGCAGTACTTAGCACTGCACAAACTCTTAGATGAGTAGAGATCTGTACTCAGAAAATAACAATGTGTCCCAGGCAGGATCATCTGGGGTATATCCAAGGCCTTAGTCAGATGGGTCATCAGTCACCACCTTCACTTTTACTTTAAAAGTATTTTTTAAATTTAATGTTAGTCATTAAAGAAAATGTAGAAAATAACTTTTAGAAAATCACCTATCATCCTATAATCCATTCATCGGGTTGATGGACATTTGGATTCTTTTTACTTTTGGCTTTTATGAAAAATGCTACAACGAACATTTGTGTACACCAGCAATATGTGAGAGTTCCAATTTTCTACATCCTTGCCAAAATTTGTTATTGTCTGTCTTATTTATTATAGCCATTCTAGGCAATAAAAGTGTGAACGGGATTTCATTGTAGTTTTAATTTGCATTTCCCCAATGACTAATGATGTTAAACATCTTTTCATGTGCTTATGAGCCATCCTTTAGTGAAATGTCTACTTATATCTTTTGCCAATTTTTGAATTGGGCTGACTTCTTAATAATGAGTTGTAAGAATTCTTTGTATATTCTACATAGAAGTCCTTTAACGGATGTGTGTTTTGCAAACATTTTACCCTAGTATGTTGCTTATCTTTTTGTTGTTGTTGCTTATCTTTTTAAGTGCAAATATTTTGGTATTTGATGAGATCCAATTTGTCAACTTTTTCCTTTATTGACTATGATTTTGGTATTGTATCTAAGAAATGTTTGCATAACCAAAGGTCTCAAAGATTTTCTCCTATTTTCTAAATGGTTTATTCCTTTAGTTCTTACATTTAAGTCTATTTTGAGTTAATTTTTTGTGTATGGGATGAGGTAAGAGTCTAAGTTCATCTTTTTTTGCATGTGGATAATCCAGTTGTTCCAGTATTATTTGCTGAACAGACTACCCTTTTGCCTTAGTACTTCTGTCAAATATCAGTAAATGATGAAATTTATTTCTAGACTCTTAATTCTGCTCAATTGTTCGATATGTCTAGCCTTATGGCAGTACCACACTGTCTTAATACTGTAGCTTTATAGTAAATTTTGAAATAAGAAATTCAAACAGCTCCATGTTTGCTCCTTTTCAAAACTGTTTTGGCTATTGTAGGTGTTTTACATTTCCATATAAATTTCAGGATTTGCTTGTTAATTTCTGCAGGGGAAAAAAAGCCTGTGGAACTTTGATTATGTTGAATCTATAGATCAATTTGGGGAGATTTGCCTTCTTAAAAATATTGAGTCATCTCATCCTTGAACACAGAATACCTCTCCATTTTTTAGATGTTTAATTTCTCATAGCAATTTTTTGTAATTTTCAGGGTACAAATGCTACACTCTTTTTGAAATTCCTTAGAATTTTCTATGCATAAGATCATGTAGTCTGTAAAGAGATACCTTTAGTTTTCCTTTCCAATCTAGATGACTTTGTTTTTTTTAATTGCCTGACTGCCTTGGCTAGAACTTTCAGGACTATGTTGAATAGAAGAGGTAAAGGTAAGACTGAATATCTTTGCCTTATTCCTGATTTTAGGGGGAAAGTGTTTAGTCTTCTACCACAAAGTATGATGATTAATATAGGTTTTTATAGATCCCTTTATTATATTGTAAATGTTCCCTTCTATTTCAAGTTTTTTATAGCTTGAATAGGTGTAGGATTTTGTCAAATGTGCCTCTTCTGTATCTATTGAGATGATCATGTGTTTTTTGTTCTTTATTCTATTAATATGGTATTATTACATTAATTGATTTTTGGATACTAAACCAACCTTTCATTCCTAGACTAAGTCCTACTCGGTCATGGCATATAATCTTTTTTATATACTGAATACAGTTTGCTAATATTTTGTTGAGGATTTTTACATTTATAATGACTTATAATCTTCTGTTTGTCTCGCTTTGGTATCTAAGGGATACTGGCCTCATAGACTGAGTTGGGAAGTGTTCCATCCTTCCTTCTTTTCTAGAAGAGCTTATGGAGTATTAGTATTTTTCTAGAAGAGCTTATGGAGTATTAGTATTTTTCTTTTCTTGTTATAGGTCTATTTAGATATTCTAAATCTTCTTGAGTCAGTTTTGGAAAATTGTAAATTACTAGAAATTTGTCTAATTTATTGGGATTCATTTTAAATACTCTATTCTCCACCTCCAAAATTCAGTAGGGGAGAGGTGAACGGGATAGATGAAACAACATTTGTAAAAATGTTGGTAACTGTTGATACTGGGTGGTAATCACCTGGGGATTCACTTTACTACTCTAATTTAGTGCATGTTTAAAAATTTCTAATAAAAGTTTATAAAAGGTAAATTACATTGCTATGGAGCAGCAACAATTAGAAAATTTAATTTAGAAACGATATTTATGATAAACTCTTCCAATACACACATGAGGAATATATATTACATAAAATATATAAATATTTTAATATATAAGGTATATATTTTATATGATTGTTATACATATCAATCACATGTATATCAATCATATGACATATGTATATTTTTCTATGTTGATATATATATATCACATAAAATTTATGTGTGGAAGAGCAAAGATTCAAGAATATCCATGATACTCCTGAAACAGAACAAAAAGCAAAAAAAGTTTTACTTTTAAAATTATATCTACATAGTATATACTTTAAAAATTCTTTTTCACTCAATTTTTTATTTTGAAATTTTTGAATCTTCAAAAGTTGAAAGAATAGTACAATAAACACCTATATGTCCTCATCTATATACAGCAATCATTAATATCTTATATTTGGTTTCTTCCCCAGGTCTTATGTGCACACAGATGCACACACACACACACACACACAACTTTCCTTCCTATTTTTTACTAAACCATTTCAAAGTAAGTTGCTGTGAATAAATGCATGCATTTGCTAAGAATGAGGATATTCTCTTAAATTTTACTCCTTTCTACATGTTTCATTATACATGAATGAAACCCAAAAAAGTGACCTTGAAGAAAGCCATATGTAATTGACTAATTCGATTACATAAAAGCAGCAAACGAAAAATTTCTGTACAGGAGAAACTACCATAAGCAAATTGAAAAGATAAACAGTAATTTACTGGAAAATTGTGCAAAGGGTAAGAAGAGATAATAAAAAATGAAAAACATATAAAAAGATGACAGTCTTACTCTTCATAAGAGAAATACAAATTAATGCTACATACAAATTAATGATATACTACATTACTTTAGATTGACGAATTCAAAAGTTTAGTAACACACTGTGTGGGCACAGTTGCCACATGGTAATACATACTCTCATATACTGACAGTGTATATGTAAATTAATACAACCACAATGGAGGGCAACTGGTCAAGTCATTAAATTGCACATGCATATATCTGTTTGTGCTAGCTGCATTTGGTGGGACAGTTCCACTTCTGGGAATCTCTCCTATAGTTATACTTGCACATACATAAATTTATGAAGTACAAGGTTATTTACTGTAGTATTGTTTGTAAAAACAAAAGACTAGAAATGACGTATATCCATCAATAAAGATTGTGACTGGCTTAATACATTATATCCAAACATATAGCATAAAAAAAAAGGAAGATCTTTAATTACTTATCCAGAAAGATCTCCAAGTTACAGTAATTGAAACAAAAATAAAAAAAACACAACTATAATATTCTCCTAACTGGAGTTAAAAAAGAGTTAAAAAATACATGTATGTCATTTTGCTTTTACATGCATATATTTTACATGTGGAATAGAAAACTGGAGGGCAAGAGCAACAGAATAGAAAGATTATTCCATACCCATTTGTAGCTTAACAATATTATATATCAACATGTTAAGAATTATAATAAAAATGATGTTTAAAACTTACCAATTTTCAGTTAAACAGAAAATTAAAGTCATTAAAGATATTGCAAGAAACAAGAAACATACCTTTGTGGCTTCCATTATAATTTTGTTTATTTTCTCTTTATCTAATCCTTCCATCCCAGCTTTATTATCATTAAGTCCCATCCTAAGCAGAAGATCATCTTTGTAATTGTCATTCTTCTCCTTTGTGCTATCCATGGTGTAGAATTAACATTAAAATGGATTTTTTAAATTACCTGAAAAAGCATACAAAATAAAAACTGCTGTTCAAAGTGTTCATGGAGGGATGGAAAGGTGGACACTTAAAAGTTAAAATGATATAGAAATCAGCAAAACAAACAAAAATGATGATTAAGAATTTTTAGCTATTACAAAATTATTATTCAGGTTTTAAAATTACTATCCCGACATTATTGTACTCTTGAAGGGAAGAAAAGAATGAACATTTCCTCAAAGCTCTGTGCCAGCCACTATGCTTGGTGCTTTACACTTAAACCTCACACAGCAGTAATGGAAGGTAAATATTAAAGAGAAAAGAAACCTGAGTCTTGAACATGTCTACTGACACAAATTTGCTAATGAATCTTGAATCCCAGGCCTGAGTCCAAAGTTCATGTTTTTCTCATATTAATAAACTATATAGGAAATAAATACAAAACAACACATCCTCTACAAAACATGTTAAGCCCAATAGTATTTATTACCTACTATATGTGGAGCTCCATTCTTAAGGCAGTGAAAAAATACAGAAAAAGTATTAACCTATTCACTTGCAGGAAATTATTACATTTTACAATGTTATGTCACTTCTAACGTTAAGAAAAATCCCTTCAAATAATAATTCTTTGATATCTTTATATAGATAGTTCTTTATAATTTATCTTCACATACATTAGCTTTTAAAAATATTTGTAATAACTATGTAAAGTAGATATGGTTATTCTCATGTTAGGGAGAAAAAAATGGGAATTTCAGGAAGGTTAAATGAATTGCCCATTATAAGTCTGCAAATAAGCGAAAGAACTAAGATTTGAATCCAAGTCTTCTTACAACACATATAATGGCAGCTACCATGGCATCACAGCTGCTTCCAATTTGGGATTCACTAATGCTATAAATAAATTGCCAAGTGAACAGCTGCCATGAATCTACAACGAATTATGATAGTGATTTCTTATTTGCATGATTTAGACCTCATTTACTTGAGGACTTTTTTTTTTTTTTTTATTTTCTTGTTAACGTCCTCACCATACATAGTTACAATTTTTTTTTTCTTGTAGGAACTTTTAAGATCGACTCTCTTGGCAACTTTCAAATATACAATATAGTATTATTAACTATAGTCACCATGCTGTACATTACATCTCTGCAACTAAATTAATTTTATAACTGGAAGTTTGTACCTTTTGACCATCTTCACTCATTGTGCGCCTCACTCCCCTGCAACCACCCGTCTGCTTTCTGTATCCATGAATTCAGTACTTTTTTTATAGTTTCATGTATTTTAATAGCAAACTTACAGGAATAGCACTGAAGACAGACAACATTAAAAGCATGTACTTACATGTAGGACAACTCGGTTAGAAAAGTATAGTGAATGGATGGAATCTGCTGTGTGATAAAAATGCTATCAACATTTAGTTGTCATCAATAAAAAATTTACTTATTTAAAAAAAATCCAAATGCTGGAATTGTCCAGGATAATTTAACAGATTTATAATTGTTATAAAGTTGAACTACTGAAACTTGTTCACTGAAACATTGTGACTTGCATTAATGCCTTATGTCCCCACATTTATAGTAAAAACACAAACAAATAAAAATGGAAAAACTGCCAAGACCTGATTTCTGTCCCCTATTTTTCCATTTGCAGTCATATACTTAGATACCTTTTGACTCCATGAGAAAAAAAAAAAAATCTAATATTTAGAACTACCAATAACAGAATGAAGAGAAAAAATTTTTTAAAGAAAGAACTGTTTCCCATTATAGTGGATTCTTAAGCACATTCTCCCATCTATGCAGCATGCTAACTAGATGTCTTTGCGCATAATTGTTACACGTTTGGCATGGATAGCACACAGGCTGGTGTCTTCAAAAACACCAATGAGATAGGCTACACTCTGGAAACGCAAATCAGTTTTGAAGTCGTGAGCAATTTCTCGCACCAGATGCTGGAAAGTAAGTTTGCGAATAAGAAGTTAACGTCTGATAACATCTAATTGCATGGAGCGCTATCATGAGGCCTGTTAACGAGAAGGTTTCCTCACCCCTCCAGTAGAGGGCACCCTATCGTGAGTGGATTTTGCAGTCAGTTGTTTCTCTGATGCTTTACTACCTGTCATTTTGCAGGCAGTCGGCTTTCTAGGAGCCATAGTAGAGACTTCCTTACTCTCCACCCTTCTTCTCCTTCAGCTGGAGCTTGGCGAAGCTGGAGGCTGTGCTAGCCTTACAGGGCTGGGTCAGCAAAGGCTGCAAACACAATTTGTTTGTTTGTTTGTTTGTTTGTTTTTTAAGATTCTACATATAAGTGAGGTCATTTAGTGTTTGTCTTTCTTTCACTTATTTCACTTAGCATAATGCCCTCAAGAGGACCTTTACTTAACGCTGCTTCCCTTTTTGGCACTAGCAAAAAATGAAAAAAATTACGAAAGGGTATTTGAATACTGCGATTATTAATGATAGTTCCTTTAGAAAAAATAGTGTATATCACAGTAGTTCCCAAAGTTTGCACAGTAGATCCAGCAGGAGAGATTCTAAAACTCTTGATGCCCAGGTTTCATCTCATACCAAAAAAATCAGGTCTGGGAGTAGGAGCCAAATATCGATATTCCAAAGAGATGCCAAGGTCATTCCAACATACCCCAAAGTATAGGAACCAATGGTGATGATGTTTTTCCATGCCCAAAGGAATGTAGGTTGGTTTTCTGTTTTTATCATTTGAATTTTTGCTCTTCATCACATTTAGCTTAATACCCAATATTTTACCTTATGCTTTAGTAATCCAATTACTTGTCATGTTTTAGTAAAAATGGTGAATGTAATTCATTCATAATTTCCTGAAACTAACATTACTAAACAGTGAAGAGGCTTCCTACATTTAAGCTGCCTTGTCCTTCAAATCAGGTGTCCCCAACCCCTGTTAGGAAACAGGCCACATAAGAAGTGAGCAGCAGGTCAGCAAAGAAGCTTCATCTGTATTTGCAGATGCTCCCCAGAGCTAGCATCACCACCTCAGCTCCACCTCAGATCATCAGGCATTAGATTTTCATATGAGCACTGGTCCCTGGTATCAAAAATGTTGGGGACCACTGCTTTAAATGATGAAATATATGAAAGGAAAAGAAACATTTAATGCTTACTATTTCACACATGGTATAATATTTAGGCCAAAAACTCTGAGAAGAACTGGTGTCAGTCCTTAATTGGGCCAGAAGTATTGGGCTGTCAGCAATACTGGTGCCAGGCACAGTTGTGATAGTTAGTTTTCAGCTACCATCTTGCTTTGTTGATGCCAAATTACCAGGCAACTTACATCTAGTTTCATGGACATAGATTTACTATCATCTACAGGCTGAGACTTCCAAATTTACAACTCCAGTCCAAACGCCTATCTGACATCTCAAATTTAACATGTCCAAAACTGATTTTCTCATATGCCTCCATCCCCCAAACCAGTTCCACTTGCAGCCTTTCTTATCTCAGTTACAGGCAACTCTAATCCCTTCCAGTTGTTTGAGCAAATAACCTTGTAGCCTTTCTTGACTCTCCTCTTTCTCATACACCCCACACACAAACTGTCAGAAAATCTCGTGGGCTCTGCTTTCAAAATGCACCCTGATTTTAACTACTTCTCACTATTTTCACTCTAGTCTGAACCACCATTACCATTTCTTGCTTGGATTATTGCAACAGCCTCTTAAATAGACTCTCGCTTCTGTACTTGTCCACCTTGTCAATCATCAACGCAGGAGCCCAACTCATTCTTTTAAATCACAGGTTAGGTCCTGTCACTCCTCTGCTAAAAAGTGTACAATGGCAAACCAGATCACTCCAGAAAAAACCCTAACTCCTTAAAAAATATGGATCCTAGTTACTTGTTACCTGTCTACCCGTATACCTGTCTAATATTCTCCCCTTTGTTCACTGCTCTCCAGCCACATTGGTCTCCTTTGCTGTTCCTCAAATCTGCTAGGCATACTCTAACCTTGAGGCCTTTTGCACTGGTGGTTTCTCTTGGAGAGTTCTTCGGCCAGATATCCTTTTGACTAATCTTCAAGTTTTTGCTTAAATGTTACGTTCTCAGTGAGGGCCTACCCTGACCTCCCTATCTAAAATAGCAGCCTGATTACCCCCTCCTATCCGCTTTGCCCAACGTCCCATTTGTTTTTCGTAGCCCTTGTCATTTCCTAACATAATACATAAGTTTACTTACTTATTATGTCTACTGTCTGTTCCCCTGTGAAAATGTAAGCCCCATGAAGGCAGGGAACTTTGTTTTTCTTCACTAATGTATCACAAATGCCGCAAATAGTGGTTGGCACAGAGTAGGTGCTCAATAAATATTTGTTGAATGACTACACTCAGATTATATCATTTGCTCATTCTTTTATTCACATAGCAAGGTCACATAATCACAATAAAAGATTGAAAGAAAAACTGCTTTTCTGAAGTTAATAATTTTAAAATATTTGTAGTTTTTCCTTATTTCAACATTAAATATGTCAGGATAAGTATATGAGCTGAACAACCTCCAATCTTATAAACCTTATTTTCTAAGTTGTTTAATGGTTAAATTGGTTTAGTAAAGCTTTTGGGACATGTATTAGAATATAATAATATTTTGAATTTACATAATAGAATGTCCACTAGGCTCCATTAATATTCAAAATATTCAAAGGATTCTAGCTTATAATTATTTTTTGGGAAATTAAGTTGCTTTGTTAAATTTAATTTCTTTGATTAAATACTTTACAATTATATCTAAATCTAAGAAAAATGATTGGAGAAAGGTAATAAATAACATACTAAGTTTTAGTATACTTAGATCTCTATGAGATCCTTTTGCTACTATCATTTATGTCACTGTGGTAAGCCTGCTTTTGTTTTTATTGCTCAGTATTTGTTATTTTCAAATTTCTAAAATTTCTCGTTAGTCCTGGTTATTTCTGTTTTTCCCATTAGTTCTTACTGAGTTTCTTTATCTAGAAATCCATAAATTGAAAAGGGGAGTTCC